TAAACAATTTTACGTAGGTTTTATTTTTATTTTATCTAAAAACGCCTGTAAACCACTGTCTTGTTTTTGGTTAAAGTCAACTCTTTACAGAGAATTTAAAAAAATATATTTTTTTTTACATCAAAACCAATTTTTTTGTAATTGTTTAAAATCACCAAATGTTATCAATAAATAATAGTTAGAAGAGAACGTTATCTGTGCTTAAGCGTTTTTTAATTTTCCATTACTCAGTTCATTAATTCTAAATAATTTATTGAAGAATACTAAAAAAACTAAACTTAAAAAATGTATATAAAACAAATTATTTGATCTATCGAATATTAGCAAGCTAAAGCATAGATAATATTCTCCTGAATTTTTCTATGAAAATCTTGAGAGTTAAGTAGTCTCTAACAGTATTTATTTGCGCAAGCCCGTGGTCATAATATAAATTACGAGTGGGTAGCTTGAACTGCCTTAACTAACTATTTCTACTACTAAATCTCATACGCTGTAAGTTTGATATTATAATATTCTCGGTCTGTCTCTCTACCTCTCAATTTAATAACCAAACTGATTGACGACTAAATACTCGCGTGTGCATGGATCTGACAGCTTACCTCGCCCGTTTCGTCTCATCAGCTCTTATAGCTCCAGTAACTGTTATATATAATGTACAGTTTGGATCACGAGGATTTGATAGATTTCCATATTATATTCCGTGCACAAATCTGTAATCTCCTAATGGTCCACATTGTAGATATACTGATGCACCGTTGTATATTATGTTTAGTGCACCCATAATCGTATTAACTATACATTTAGTTGTTGGTTATGCAAAATATGTAGGTGATAATTGCGAATAATGTTGTATATAATATTGGGTACAACTCAATTTCATACTGGAACATTGAAAGCATTGCGTAGAAAATTATTGAGCTTATATTATATTAATATATTTACATTTAATTACACTCATGCGTGAACAATAATTCAATGAACGCGCAGACTACACAAAATACAATTACACCGTTCAAAGAGATTTTAATATAATTCCGTGTTCTCTTGATAAAACGTATTTTAGAAGCTGATTGGATTGAGATACTGTTGTCTATATATTATGTCATTGATCGTATTAAATGTGGCATCATTATGAACTGGTTATATTACACAAGCGAATAATTAGCTTTAGGAATTCAAATTTAATTGGATATTATTCGATTCAATTCGTATCACACAACCTGATTAATATTTGGTAGTATGTAAATCTATTATGAATCTCGACCACAAGCCAAGGTAATACCATTGATTATAAATAATATAGATAGCCCACTGGCATGTATTTTTTGCTGCGCGTAAATTGTGCCGTTGTAGAGGGCTTTATACTGTTTTTAGTTATGTCGGTAGATACTGTGTGAGCGCTGACGATCGACGCGCAGGCGCAATACAGCCAGGAACGACGTAGTGCGCTTGCGCAACGATCGTCAGCGCTCATGGTACCTACCGCCATAACTAAAAACAGTATAAAGCGCTCTACAACGGCCACAATTTACGCACAGCAAAAAATACATGCCAATGGGCTATGTATATTATTTATAATCAATGGTATTACTAACAACTGTATTATTTTATTCAACACTTACGTTATCTCATGTCAGTTAACGATATCTGTCAATCAGATAAGCAAGATGCTAATCTTCTTCCGTGTTCAATTAGCTTGAATTGCCTATCCACTTCTCGTTTTTTACATCTCTCGTTTTTAATATATATATATATTAGTTGTTTTATTGTCAATTATTGACATGTTATTACCTACTTATTAATAATTGAGCATAACAAAAAGCATGTTTGTTATATGGATTGTACATATCAGTAACTATGTTCGATATAACGCCGTAAATCTTCTATATTTTGCCACATCTCCACTCGAGACTATTATTGCAAAAATAATAATTATTCCCATTTCAAAATCGATAATGGCCAATCGATGTGCGTGGATGAAGAGAAACTGCAGTCATATTATGATTATATCATTGCTTCAGCATTGGGCGCTTGTCGAAAGTTCAATTGATTCCCATCAACGATACACCTAACAAGTGAAATGTAATTACCTGGTTAAATCCACTGACAAGCCGACGGTAGTCTATTCTCCGTCAAAGGCTACTCACGAACACCGTTCAATGTCTCCGGGCTATAGTTTCCTATGATATTATCAATTGTCACTACAACACCACACAATACAATATCGGTTAGGACGACCTCGGTGCGGGTAATTTTGATTTGCCAATATGTTTCCTTATATTAGCTGTAATGGTTGTTATAGGAATTGTATTACTTATATCGGATAGAGGAATATTGTCCTCGAGTATTAATATCGATCCGTTTAGTTTCGTACGTGCGATAATCGGAACTGAATGCCAGTAATTCGTAATGGATGTATTATTATAATTATGTATAAATGTATATTTTCTCTTAAAAGGGTACCCTTGTTGTAGGAGTTGTACAGCGTTTATTGTGTTCATCACAATACATTTAAGTAATATCGTTGTTCGTCGGAACGATGATAGTTGTGTTGACCATTTGCACACCGAATTAATGCCAGACGACCAGTACGGTAATTCCCTTTGAAATGATCGGTACCTCCAAAGAGAGGGTTCGGCACAGCCGCCGTGACCCTTTTTAATATGTACAGCTATGTAAATGACCGAGGGATGTCCATTCGAGGGTGGCGATGCTCGTTTTAGGAGTCATTAAAACAATAATTATACCGAAAACCAAGGTCCACCCCACCGTTCTTAACAATCATAATAACAATAGTAATAAAATGAATAGACTCTAGGTGCTATAATTATTTTAAAAGCGAGCACGTTACTGGTATATTGACTGGTAGAGTTTAGTATATATATATATATATTATACATAGCTTTTATCATTACTATATCATTATCTAGGTCTTCATTCAATGTAAAAAAAAAAAAAGTCAACGTCGCGTTTTCAGCTGTGGTTATTGGCAAATCTTCTTTAAGCCGAGTACAACAATTACAAAATTACATATGCAATCTAAGATACCTACATCAAATGTATAATAGTATCTTATGTATTTGTATTGAACAAATATATTACATTTCTCGCATCCATGTATTTTTAGATACCTAAGCATGCTTAAACATTTATTGGATGTATTATAAAAATATATAAGTTGTTACTTTTGTATGGTAACTATGTAGACCATAATATAATATAACGTGTTGTTTGTTGCTCGCAATCGTTGTAGTGCTCTTGACACCAAAGCTTATATGTATTGTATTAGATATTATTTGTTTATAAAAATTGTTTGGTTTGTTTTTTTATTACCATTGATTTAATGGACTAGTCGATAAAATTATTTTTTCTTGTAATATTGTAATTTATATACTATATATAAAGTGTCGTATATTAATTTCACGACTGTTGGACATGCATGCGTTGTCGTATGTCCGTTAAAAAAGAAAAAAGGTACCACACAAATAAGAAAACAAGTCACGATACTCCTTAGAAAATTACTTGTCACACGGTTTGTAGAAAATATTTTTTTAAAAATCGCTTACAATTAGAGAAAACTTTTTTTATCAACAACATGCATGAAATACGCTAAGCACATGGGTGATACGAAAAACCAACGTTGCGTCAGTCTTATCCTATTTTTCCCCTATCGTATTGTTTTTTTAATATATATATATATATATATCTTCGTATAATTAAAAATGATCATTTCGATATAATCTAAATAGGTATTACATTATCGTCAAGAATTTCAAAATGTCGAAACAACAGTTCTAATTTTATACCTAAACTAAAGAATAAAAATACATTAAAACTTATCGTAACTATACCAATCATATTAATTTTAGTTTAAATTAATTAATTATACGCTATTAATAGCGCAATATTATTTTAACAAATTAATTCTAATGTTTGTTTTTTAAAAATTATATTCTTGGAAAATAATTACAATTTTATAAAATTACCAAATATTTACCGTTTTTAGTCTTTTCCAGAGCACTTTTGAATCTTAAATGCTAAATGGGAACGTACAGTAATTAACTTTTTTATTTAATAATAATTTGCTGAACATTTTACCTGGTTGATAACCAGTTTTTAACATCTAAATTTAAAGTTATTAAAGTTTAAAATTTAGGACGGGAGACGTAGTGCGCTTGAGTAATGCGTGCGGAAATCATAATACTAAAATTTCCCCCTTCTATATTTTGAACTTTAATACCTGACTAAAAGTAGTTATTCAGAACTGGTTTTCGATCAGACAACATTCGTAGGAAGTTATTCTACTTTCAAAAAGTTGTTTAAATAAATGTGTTCCCATACAGTTTTCAAAAGTTGATAGCGCTATGGGAAATACTAGGGTAGTTAAATATTTGGCAATTTAATAATGTTCTACTATAACATCAAAAAAAATATTTTCAAAAAGAAAAACTATAAAATTGCAATTATTCTCCGAAAAAATGAGTGTCTTAGGTTTAATGGATCACCTTGTATAAAAAAAAATGTTAAACTTCATATTTTAATTCTTAATACTCTGGTTGAATAGTTTTGTTCTGTGTTAAGTAGATCATAGATATAATAATTTGAATAAACTTTATTTTTATTGTAACTTTTGAGTGTAAGTATAATGTGTACATTAATACTCAATATATCTATTAAAACATATAAAGTACATTTCTTTATGAATTTGTAGTCACTTCAGTCATATTGTTTTAAGCTTGCCCTACGACGTGACCTGTAGAATTCGGATTAAAAATAGATTAAAACAAAAATAAAGTTGAACTTTTGCAGTATCCTGCAAGTACTCCCGATCAAATACCTTCCAAACGCGGTTTCTACCCAGAATTGATTGTAACATGTTTGTATGTTTACTCTATCAAAATCATATCTTTTTTGACGGCATACAAGGACAGCGCTTATACTTAGTTGTCATAATGCTAATTGGATGCTTCGTTTGTGTGTGTGTTTGTGTATATGTACAGAAGATTGGCAGCCGAGGAGGACGACGAATTGTCAGAGGTGCAACCTGACAAGGTACCGCAGGAAGTGCGCGACTGGTTGGCATCGACTTTCACCAGACAAATGGCTACCCCCAGGCGTAGGGGTGAGGACAAGCCCAAGTTCAAGTCAGTGGCCCATGCTATCAGAGCCGGCATATTTGTAGACCGCATTTATAGAAGAATGACAACTACGCCATTGATGCAGTTTCCGGATAATGTGACGGAATCGCTCAAAGTAAGATTGCAAATGGTAATTATCGTTTACAACTCAGTATAAAAGTGTAACATTAAATTATTATGAAATAGTAGATTATTTTATTTTGTATCTTACGCGGTTTTGACAATCATTCTTAGAGATTATAATATGTAAGTTTTTAAACAGCGCAACACACCTATTGACATGAACATATCTTAAGGTGGGGTTCTGTCGAAAACCTGACGCTTTTATCACACACATTGACAAAGGGGAACATGTGGGGAGGATATGACTAGGGGGTTGTGAAGAAATGGGTTGAACAGCTAATTTTGTAGAAGTCGCCAAAATATATATTTATGTTCCAATGTCTTTTCTTCGAAGGAAAGATTAAACGTTATTATTTTTATACCTAAAACCTGTAAAAGAAGCACGGTATTTTTTATTGCTCAAAATAAGAAACATGCCGAACGAAAATTATGAAGACGCTTCGTAAAGTAATCGGATATTGATACGTTTTTATTTGTTCAAAGAATGACGTCGTTCTACAGTTTAAAAATTATATTACTAAGCGCCGTAATAAGAGTTTGAATATTACTTTATTATACATATATATGTTTTATGTTTGTATTAATCAGAAGTTTGAATTATAATATCTGGACTTTATAGTATGTCTTCTTATAACGAACACAATGTTCAATTGTTCGATTATGTTCGATTATTGTTCGACAATGTTCCATTTATTTTACTGAACTTAATAGTTTTTCTTGTAAAGTTTGTTTATAGCGCCAAAGTGACTTATAACTTACATAAAAAAATTATTACCTTGAAATTAATCTCTAAATCAAAAATATCAAAAAATAATTTGTTTTCATTGAAATTCATTAAAATTGGTTTTTGTCAAATGTTTATATTTTTTCTGTTCTTAAACAATTTTTCAGCATTTATACTTATATATTTCTACAACTCACTAAGTTTTCTCTTAAAAATGTATTTATTTTGTATTGTTAGTCAAGTTGTGTGCTGGGTTGATCCCACGGGGCTTATGTTGTTCTTTTGAAACATCTCTTACCTTTTCGGTTTAAAGTCTTGTCGCCGTAGAAATCATTTGTCCGCTTAAATATTGTGAGACGAATGATGTAGGGCGAGACCGTATTTGGTTATTGTTAAAATTTGTATTACATATCAAAGTAAGTAATTACTATAATATCATATTTGTAGTATTTTATAGGAAATAATAATAAATTGTGATGTATTTAAGTTAGTGTTCAACGATAAAATATAACCCGTGGGGTTCTTAGTGCTAGTAAGTCAACAACCAAATTAGCATATATTAGTGGTTCAATATTATCAATGTGTGTGTGTGGACGGTAAGAAGGTGTTACGCAAGCCACTGTACTTTTTGTTTGCAGAACGTAAACGATTGGTCATTTGATGTATACGAGCTAAGCAGTTATGCAAACGGACAGCCTCTCAAGTACTTAGGTTACGACTTGCTTAACCGTTACGGGATATTCCAGAAATTTAAAGTAAGCACAAATCGTTTAGATAACAAAAATATACTCATAAAGTTCATCGGATCTACCGATTAATTAAAACCGTACACAAAAAGAAATGTATTTAATCATTCTTAACAATATTCTGATGCCTTTGTACGTTTGCACTCATAAAAAGCTACTTACTAAGTATAAAATTGCACAGCATGCCAACTACTTAGTGTCTATATATTCTGCTGAATTAAACGCTATTACACAGTTTTTTTATTCATTTGTATTTTTTTACTATTTTTATACCGGTACCTTTATAATACTTTTAATTAAAAAAAAAAACATTGAAATATGCGTTATTTAAACTCTGGTTATTACATTTTAACTATCAGATCATACTTACATACTGTTAAATAACATCATAGGCGGAGATTGGGGGGTGCTTGGGGGGCTTAGCACCCCCATAATTATCAATAACCCCCCCAATTATTTGATCACTTATCAAAGTAATAAATTCCTTAATTAATGGAGTAAAAACTAAAATTATTAATAAGAATAAATTATGAAAATTATTTCAGTTCCAAAACGGCAAAACATTATAACAATGTTTTTGATAATGTTATCATTTAATTTTAATTCAAGTGCTAAATAAAGTTATACATTTTTCAAAAAACGCAATAAATATTGATAAAATTCAAACGGCTCTAACCCAAAATGTATTTCCCAGCTTATTTAAATTATTTTAAGTCGCCATGTCTTTGCCAATTAGTTCAGCTACATGCGAACGCAGCTTTTCAGCTATGCGCAAAATTAAGACATGGTTACGTACTAGTATGTTGCAAGACAGGTTTAATAATTCATCCATATTGTACATTGAAAACGATTTAAATATTGATGTAGAAAAAATAATTGATATATTTGGATCTAAGAATAGGTACATTGCATATATACTGCAAAAATATACAAATATTGTATTATAATTATTATGATTTTTATTTATACATTTATAGTGTTATATATTAATAATTTAGGAGTGTAAATCCTTTGCAGGTCATTTTAGGTAGAAAAATGCTAGCCCCCCCCCAAAAAAATTAATGAAATCTCCGCCTATGAATAACATATTAATTGGTAATAGTCAATAAAAAAATGTCATCATATTTTATCACAAATATTTTAAATAAAAACGTGACTTCGGAAACAGATTATTTAGTTATTATTATGTAATAAATTGAATAAAACCCGTAAAAATAAAGTAAAACCCTAATGGGTTTATGTGTAAAATAATATTGAATTGTTGATATAACATTTTTTTACCGATCCTTATTTATTATTATTATTAGGTGCCGACTGTCGTGATGGAAAACTTCTTAGCGAAAATCGAAGAAGGATATTCGAGACACAAGAACCCGTACCATAACAATTTGCACGGTGCCGATGTAGCTCAAACCGTTCACTACATGCTGTTCCAGACAGGACTAATGGTAATAAGTCTCGCTCGTTACCATTTTTACTGTGCAAATGTAGTGGATTAAACTTCAAAGGAAAACATGTGTTTAAACTTTAACTACTCACACCGTACAATATAATATATTCTGGGTTAGAGAAGTAGGTACCAGGTGTCTAGTGACCCAATTAGTCGCCGTCTGAACATTGATTTCTTAAAATACTGTTGGTCAATAAATCTCTTTACCTTCTAAATCCATTTAAGTATACCCTGTCTAATTATTTTTGATCTTTGGTGGATATTTAGTGCACAATAAAATAGCATAGAAAATGTCAAAATACATCCATAATGCCTATTAATACTATTTATGTCAAATGAGTGGGCAAAACCTGGTGGGTGTACAATTCGTTTTTTAGCTGAAATATAACATGAAAAACATGTTAAGCATTTACATTTTGTTATTTGAAATTAATTTGTTTTAATGGAGCCATGAAAATTAAAGAAATTGCAATTACATTTTGTACATTTTTACTGCAAATGATGACACACATAGTCTAAGGCATAAACGTATTTTATGTTCTAATATATTCCAGAATTACAAAAAAGGTATATTTCACGACGTTGTGGTATTTAAAAAATCCAATTGTTTCTTTAATTATATTTTTTCGTTAAGAAAATATTCTTTAATAATACATCCGTTGACATCTAGCACATAAATAAATTACAATAAATCTAGTATATTTTTAAATTACAATAATTAATTTACATATATATTATAGTTATCATTTAAAACATTTGGTTTTTGCATTTAAAAAATTGAAAAATCTAGAATTGCATTGTAATTTCAGTTTTTCTCTGTATTACAACTAATTACTATATTATCTGTTATTAAACTATTTTGTATCTTATAAGTATAGTCGTATAATCAGTAATTATTAAACCTAAATAAACTTTCGTCGACGGGTAACGTATAACAATAATAAATAATAATTTAAATAGATCAGATAACTTCTGTATAACTCAACGTAAAATGTCACGCCATCTAGGAACACAGTTTGTTGTGTATAAGCGTTGCGTTACAGACGATACAGAGTGCAGGCCCTAATCATTATTTAATATTATTCCGTAGTTAATCTACTTAGAAAGCATGGTTTAGACTCACAGGCGGGAAACCCTTCATAAAGTGGGAGTAAATACCACTTTTTAATACAAGTAAATAACATGTTTTATTTTAATCGCAAGCCTAATCAAAATACGTTAAAGCATAAAAAAGCTAAAAAAAATATCAAATCTTTTTATTATTTCTATTCATAAAAATTATATTTAATTTCGACCTATTTGTTTACCATAATTCATCTGACCCTAAATAATATATTTTATATACAGTTTCATAATAGATAATAGACGTGGCAACACATACCTACACATTTTCATGATATTACTGAAATTTCTTCCTTTGATCTAACTTGACTACTTTATACAATTATTTTATTAACTCTGCTGTAGCTACGGCATTATTAGTACAATTAAATAAATATGTGATCCAATAATATAAAAAAAAGACCTCTTGTGTCGACATTTTCCAAAATTAAGCGCTAGTCGCTATTACTGAGGGGCTTATACTGAATGTTATCGTTCACAGAATTGGTTGACAGATTTGGAAATATTCGCCATGTTAATAGCGGCAATCACTCACGACTATGAGCACACAGGAACCACCAATAATTTCCACGTGATGTCGGGATCGGATATTGCTTTGCTGTACAACGACCGCGCTGTGTTGGAAAACCATCACATCAGTTGTACCTTCAAGTAATTGATTCGCCCCTGGTCGGCCATCTCTATTATTCTTCTTATACTATTATGACTGCTGTAATATAATAGAACTGCTATACCTATAACCGTACAACCGATGTGGTATGTTTAGATTGCTGAGAGACGACGATTGTAACATATTGGTGAATTTGACAAAAGAAGAGTACCGCGAATTCCGTTCGCTCATGATCGATATGGTGTTGGCGACTGACATGAGTTTCCATTTTCAGCAGCTGAAGACTATGAAGACATTGATATCTTCGCCAGAACCCACGTGAGTCAAATGTGAAAATATGGTCCCCGACGTCCAACATTAAACACGAATAACAACGAACAAAAACTGATGTTGTTTAATTATTGATATACAAATAACGTTTCCGCCCCGATTTAGGATTGATAAATCTAAAGCTATGTCCATGGTACTGCACTGCGCCGACATAGCGCACCCGGCCAAGGAATGGAAATTGCATTACAAATGGACATGCCAGTTGCTAGAGGAATTCTTCTTGCAGGGAGATTTAGAGAATAAGCTTGGATTGCCCTACAGTCCGCTGTGTGACAGAAACAACACGCTTATTGCTGAATCACAAATTGGTGAGTCATTTATTATTTTTAACAAAAAAGGTCTAATATACAAATGTTTTAAAGATTATTATTTGTATACAATTTATGATCAATAGCGTGGGTCCAATTTTCAGTCCTCAAGTCCTAAAATTACACCTAAAAAAGCAAAATAATGCAAACAAATTTATTATATTTTTTTTTGGTTTATCAACGTTTACCGATAGTATCTACATTATCCAAACAATACTCTTCGGAACACAAATTTGGAACTAGTTATACTATTTTTAAAAAAGTTATAGCGTGCCGTTATTTTGTATCGAAAAATATTCAATTTTTAGGTTTTTTCAATGTTTAAATATTTAACTTAATAATTATTTAATAAAACTAATGTAAAAATATAACTTTTCTATTGTTCTATTTGTTTTGTAATGTTTATATAAACTCATATTAATTCAATAAAAGTTTAAAGTTTTAAAATAATTTTGTTTCTATACAGGTTTTATTGAATTTATTGTCGAGCCCAGCATGTCATTGTGCAGCGATATGCTCGAAGTGATATTGGGACCAATCAACGTGGTTTCAAACCCTGTGACCGATGAAACGTCCGTCGTTGATAAAAAAGCAGATGACAATGAGAGATCAGAATCAGATGTCTCGATTGCTTGTAACGCTATGAGCAACAACTTGGAAGAAGTTGGAACATCAGGATCAAAAGACGCCAATGAAGATGATACTAAGAGCGGTGGTAAATCAAATGTTTCTGAATTATTTATTGATAACGTAGTATTTCGTTTTGCTTATCAACTTTTATAAACATTTTAAATATAAATATCAACTGACGAAATAAATAATCGTGGATAACAATACTAGAGAATTATACCTAGAATTGATTTCGGTTTTAGACAAAAAAGCAAACGGTAATGCAGAAGTCAAACTGTTTAAAATTGAAAAGCCATGGAGAGATTGCTTGGAATTTAACAAAAAAAAATGGATGGCTCAAGCGATCAAAGGTAATCACTATTCCAACCCTATAAACATACCGTTTACTGTGTAATATAGTTATTAATAATATATAAAATAAACTTGTATATTCTATTTGTATACACAGAACAAAAACTACGATTGTCAAAGACCACGTACACTATGAGCGACATCCAAGTGTTATCAACAGAGTCTACACCAGTAATTTCGACTGTCTCTTCGACAGTCACATCACCAGTCTCTACGCCAGACAACCCTAAACCTTTTCCGGATAAAAATGACGAATAGATTTTTCCTTTTGTTTTCGCCCACCATTTCGGTCTGCTATTCGGCCGTAACACTATTTATTAATCATTCCCATTTAAATGTTGTACATGTGTACGAATTTATTGTTTATTATTACCATTACTGTTATTATTATGACTACTACTATTTTATATTATTACTAAACCAGTAAGCACAATATAAATTATTATTATCATTGCGTTATAACAGTTACTACTCTGTAACCGGACTCAAAAGTCTTAAAAACCCAATGTAATGCAATAGTACTATCATAATATGGGGCAACGGATAGCCGCTGCAAATTAGCAGCTACTAAGTCTTTATACTGGTTCCTCATTCATTGGTATCTCAAACCGGTAATCGCCTGTGGTCATTTTTTTAAAATTCATATCAATAATTTTTATTCTCTTCTTACTCATTCAAATTTAAATCTTACACTGCCATCAGTTGTATGATTATCGCCCCTTTACACGGGTACGCCCTTTAAAACTGACTAGGGCCGCGTTTGGGCGTAGCCAATCTTATGGCTATCCTCCGACCGTTAGTCAAATGATATATTCTAAATTAACGTGACTGACAAATTATAATTATTATTCAAAAACTGTTTAAAATAGTATATAAATTATTCCATTCAATCTAGGAAAATTAGTTTCTAGAGTAAATTAATTGTTGTAAGGATTAACAACACCTTATTTGTATTGTTATTCAAGACATAAAACATCACGATCAATATATCATTTAATAATTTTGAAATATTGAGTATTATTAATTATTTATGTAAATAAACTTCTGATCATTCCGAAAGTGCATTCCAAAATCTAAAAAAATTTCATAGAATTTTAAGAAATGGGCGATGACGGTTATTATATTAGTCTTAGTATATTAGAACGACCAAAAATTAGTTTGGTACTCTAAAAGTTTATAGGAATATAAATATTTTACCGGCTATTCTCTAAAGCCTACCACATAGTTTTACTTTCGATAAGTTTGATTGTTTGATTGTTTTGAACGTTTCGTTATAGATGTCAAAAGTAATCGGGCGTTGTTGTGTTAGTATTAATTAGGGTTAATAATTTTAACCTTCTTACGTGTTCGCTTAGACTAATGATAAGTACTCGCATATGAGTAATCCATACCGGGCGCATATAAATAAAAAAAAAAATAGTGTAGGAACTATAGCTAATATTCGATTATTATTAAAGGACTTGACTCTACTGATTCATTTTTGCCCCATACGTCGTAATAGGATCTTAGCGTTACCACTAATGGACAAGCAGAGATCAAAAATATATTAGCATAGAATAATATTAATAACAAAACAAAAATTAGTGCCAATCTCATAATTTTAAAAGCACGTTAAGCGCATTTCCTATATCTATATACTATATAATATAAACAAATAAAATTAAGTAAATATAGGTAGGTATTAGGTGTATTGTTTTTCTTTTTAACTGTTCTGGCCGATCTCTTCTTCTGACCTCTATAGATTATAGGTACGCAATTAGTGTATAGTCAAACATACATGTTACATCTTGTCGAATCTGACATTTTCTTTATGACATTTGACACCGCCTGTGTTATTGACTATATAATATTTGTATTATTTTCATGCAATTATTATAATGTTTTTCATTTTTATGCGAATTCATTTTCTCTACATTCAGTCATGATAGTATAATTGCTACAGGCTTGTGACCGCTTACTGTGGTTCGTTTATATGGTGAAAGTTCTTTTACAAAGTTTTAATATCATCATGGGTTATTAATCTTTTGTAGGACCACAATAATGATGTAGGACTAAGGCGTGTTTTTAAAAAAAATGATATTCCACAAATGTAATACTCCCAAAAAATGTACATAATATACAAACATATTAAGTCATTATGGAGAAATTTAATTGAATGCCACAAACTAGCCGTTCTGCCACATTCTTTGTCCGCATTATCTCAGCTTTAGTTAAGTAGTGACTAATTCGCTTAAAACGGTTATGGCTTTATAACTGTTATGATCACAGGCACTAAATAATGTAATGTAAATACATTACATTATCATTTTATCAGTGACAAATAACCGGTTTTAAAAAGTCAACATACGGTTGTCAAATACCCGAATAACATCCCGGGATAAACAGAAAAAAATGAATAAACTATATACTAAGATCTGTCATAAACAGCTTTTTAATTAAGGAAAAAGGTAGAACACATTTTTTTTTTCGTCCAACTGAGAACCATTTCCTATTCTTCAATAATTATTTATGTACACATTTATTTTTACTTTGTGTAATTAGTGACATTTTATAAAGAACCTTGAGTAACAAATCCATTTTTTGTCTTTTAGGTAATTGTATATTGTGCGACTGTAATTTTATTTCAATCTAGCTCTTGCCTTTTCGTCTGTACTAGAAAATGTTTTTTTTTACAACACAATAATAAATATTAGTGACTAGCTTCAAAAAGTTGATTATTTTATATCATACTTTATGACAGCAAGTATTATCGATTACACCAATATAATAATATAAAACTTTTTTATATGATACTGGATTATTTTGTAAATATTTTAATAATATTATACATATATTCATACCAGGTGATCCATTTAACAATTCATGTAATTGAATGGGAATTCAGGATAAAATTTTAATTTAAATATTTTCATATCCGTTTATAAAATTAAGAAATCACGCATTTCCCATTGTGATAATTTTTTTTTTAATACTACTAATTCAAACTAACTAAAACATCGTTTCAGAACAATATTAATTATAAAATGGGATTAATAAAAAAATACTTACCCTTAGATTCATTCGAGTACATAAAATATTTTGGAAGTCATCAATAAAAATAAAGTTACAAATAACTAAATCACTAGTCTAACAAATTTACCATTAAAAAGTTAAAAATATACATAATAAAAATGTAAGAATATCGTATTTATAACGATAAAAATTACTAATATTTTATCTGAAACCATAAGACCTTGTTGGATGTTGGATAGATCACCCTGTATAAATATAATACTAGTTATTATTATTATTATATTATTAAATGATGTCAGGTCGTTTTTAAAACTATATTATTTCTTGATACTGCTGATCAACTTTGTGTTAACATTTTTAAAACTATACTGTACTTTTGATTTAACTAGTAAAATTATAAATTTATTATTATACTGAATATATTTCTTATTTATTCGTATATTTAGGTGATAAGTAAATATTAATATGCAAAATAAAATTATACTTGTAACAAAAATAACGATATAATGCGTTATTTAACCACAATAGATAAATATTATTTATAATAAAATATGATCTTTTTAAATAAGTAATTTAACTCGGACATTAGATGGTTTACTTATTAAATGCTATAATGATTGAAATGCATATAATATTTATACTTTATCATACACATTTATATACTTAACTGTACTTACATTTTTACCTACAGGGTGTTTAATCGTGTGTCAAAATAAAATGATAAACTTGGAGGTGTTTAGACACCTTGTATTTTATATGCGAACATCATAGACATTCTCTTATTTGGTAATTGTTTACCTACAATGAAATCGACCTGAGATTGACTTCTTGGGATGACTAGTACCATAGATTTTATAGTATACAGATAGGACATACCATTGTTAAAATATACAGCGGCTAACATTCGTTTAAGAGGGATGTTCATAAGTATCTGTGTGTGATACAATATTCGTACATTTACTTTCCTCGAAATCGTATAGTCCATTACCGGTTAATAATGGATATCTTATCTGTATAATATAAAATCAATGCTAAACCGTTTTTAAGGTAAACAAAAAAAAAAACAAATTGTAAAAACAATTTGATAGTTATCTTGTTAATATTGTTAAGTCTAAAAGTCATTATGAATAACAACCAGTAACTTTTTAAACATTTGTTACTATATTATAAGCTGTAAAACGACTTAACATGAAATTGATTTGTATAATTATTAACGAACATCCACCCTGTAGACTTGATTATTTTATAGATATTGTCATTATAAACAGAAGGTTATTTAAATTCATTTTTCGTACTATTTTAATTTAATTTAATTGTCTGTAAGTTTAATACTTTAATTTAGTATCATATATTAAATATTATTATTATACAGTATGTCCAGAATGACAATTAATTATAGTACTTAAACATTCCGTAGACCGTAGTTCATTGATCGGCATTTATCAAATTTTAATTTTTTAGTTTTTTAATATTATGCAACCCAAAGTATGATACTAATTATAATATTACTTAAGTAGTAGCTAACCTTATTTTTTATATATAAAACTAGATTCAATATGTTGCCTATTGCAAACATTTTAGTTCCCATTGGGACATTTATATAATATAAATATATTACTTTATTATTATATTAAAATAAATAATACTTTACATAATTATAAAATCGTAGCTCTAACCAAAGTCTACATAATATAGATGTTAATTCATCGTTTTAGGACATACTGTTTAAATAGTCATTATTAATTTGTTATAGAATTTATAGTTATTATTATGGAACTATATTGATTATATAGACAATGTAACAAAAGTTGACAGTTTTACTATTTTGTTAATCTGTTTTCCGTTCTTCGTTTCTGTCTGATAATAAAAGTATATACCTGAAATTTTCACTTGTTTTGTATCTTTATGTCATAAACACCTAACCTACTGCACGCCACATAGATAAAAGTACTACATAATTTATTTTTTATCTATTATATTTACACATATTGTTTGTAATTTCTACACAAGCTTGAAGCATTCTCGGTTTATAAAAGGGCTGACTGAGTTATTAATGGCACTTGTGTAAAAAATAGAGTATTATCACATCCTATATTAATTAATATTTAAAACAACTGATTGTTGAGATTTTTTGCTTGTCAATAAATACGAACAATTATTGTACGCCAAAATGTACAACTGTAACCACTTATAAGTAATCGATTGTACACTTAGCTCGATTTTATTAAAAAATAGACACTTCTAAATTTATACCCAGTAATAAACCAAGCGAGGTCCTCAATAATAATTTTTCAGTAAAAATGTAATCCTGAAATATACACTCCACTTAGTTATAATTTTTGTCACTTGGTATTTTCAAGTGTTTTTGGCAATTCATAAAAACGGACAAACGTAAATAAACAAAAAAAAAACCTTTTATAGACCTACACTAATAGGGTGAAGGAAGGTATTTTCGTGGCATAAGCAATTTCGTGATTTAGTTTATTGATCGCATCGCGTAATTCCCTATTAGAAAATTGTCTTGAAAATCACAAAATTCAAAATTTATTTGACAAAAATCCTTATAGGAGGCCTTTGAGTGATATTAACTCACAGGGGCTGGACGTAATTAAAAAATCAATCGAAACATTTAAAAATGCCGAAAAAGTTACATTTGATCAAAAGATACAATCACAAAAAAAAACGTCCCTCCTTGTTTCACAGGGTTTATTTTTACGCTGACTTCCATACTTAAGCTGTACGAATCAGAAAAAAAAGGAATGGAAACTAATAATAAACCTTATTTTTTAATGACTAATCGATTATGCCAAGACCCTATTGAAAATCTTTTTTCTATATTTCGCCAAAAATAAGGTTATAATCGTAATCCCACTTGCAAAGCTTTTCGGTCTGCATTTGCTAGTGTTTGTTCATTTAATTTAATAAACTCAAATTCCGAAAAATCAAACTGAGGCCGACGAAGACAAATTTTTAACCGCTGAATTTAATGTTGATTCCGTAAAAGAAAATGCCGATACTAATTCGTTACCGTTGTTAACCGCCGCCGTTCAAGAAGCGCACGAAGATTCCGATTCGGATAACGAAATCCCACTATCGCGCAACGTAGAGAATGAAAGTTTAGAACAATGTTCACTTGTATATTTTGCTGGGTATTTGGCTATGCGTTGCTTAAAAAAATTTAATTGCGAGCAATGTCAAATTAGTTAAATAAAAAAAATACAAATTTAACTGACCAAAATCAGTTATTTTTAGTTTTTAAAACATATGACCACATAGACTGGCATTCAGAAGCGGGATTAAAGAGTCCATCTGATATGGTCATTAATATTACTGCAATTTGCCTAAATATTTTTAAAAACAAATTTGATTTTATTAAATCACAAAAAAATCTGGTATATTCGTTGATCGATATGGCAACCACCCAGCTTAACATTGAAAACGCATTGGCTGTAGAAGGTGATTGTCTTAATCATTTAAAATTTTTAATAAAACTTCTTTTTACGGTGAAAATCTACAAAGAATGTAAATGGATGGATAAAAACCCAATCCTACAAACATCATTAAAAAACCGCCTGCAAAATTAAGAATATTTCAGCATCAGTAGAAGCATTGAGTATATACAATCATTGAGTATATATTCAATATATACTCAATGATACAATATATACTCAATGGTAGAAGTTTATCTTTATATAATCAATCGTAGAATTATATTATATTATATTTTTTTAATTAATTTAAAGGCATCTACAAAATTTTAAATACATTTATTTGTTTATATATTTATTTTTAACGATTCTATATCGTTAATAAATTTATTTTGTTTTTTAAATAATTTAATAAAAACAAATTTTTAAATAAAAAAAAAAAAGGACTCCGCTCTATTATTAATTAGTAGCGTACTGCGTAGTTGCATTTAGTTAGCATATTATTATTATTATTCGACTGTAGTATTTGCCTATAAGTTTACTTTTACAAGAAAAATTCAGCATGAAGTTGCGTGTTTTTTACAAAACGTTTTATCATTGAGTATATATATACTCAGTGGTTTTAAACACTTCTGTTTTACTTATTTGAAACCTTTTGACAAGATTTATAACAGGTATCCATAAGGAAGTAAAAATATTTTTACAACTCTATAATTAACATAAAAAAGTCATTTTTTATTCGACGAACCAACAAAATTAAGTACTCGTTCATCAGTTAAACACGAAATTGTCGATTAAGTTATAAAATATTTATTTTTATTTATTGGTGTTTCATAATTTTTATTTGCCATAATTTTAATGAAAGAGGTGAAAATATCGTGTAATGAGCTCAAAATCTGCGATAAAAAAAATATAATAGTTGCAGGGCGTTTAAAACACATCGATATCTCATTGTGCTTATAGTGAGTTAGTTGCGTCTAGTAGAAAGCCGCGGACGCTGGGCCGCGTCGAGCCGAGTGCATTGGGCGTTTAGGTAAAAAAAATATTTTTAATAAATTGGAAAGAAATCACAATATGACAACGTCTCATTTTACCCGATTTGGCATCAATGTTGTAATACAAACATTCGCACACTGGTAAACGCGCAGGTGGCATATGCTTATGCATCATGCTAACCCCAGCTGCTCACTGTCTCATATTCGTTCGGCGTCCGCCGCCGCCCGATGCTTTGTTCTGCATTGGCGGACGACGTCCGTCGGCTACTAGTGGCTAACGCAGCGGCTAGTGTAGACGCGCCTGGACGCCCGTGGCCACTTACCAGCCGTCAAAGGCTTATACCATTGAGTATATACTACAATATATACTCAATGGTAATATATTTAGTAGGATGTATTGAAGGTGTGCATTATTGCTAGTTAATTTTTCATCAGATTATCATAGTCTTCACCAATAATGATTTTCTAAAAATTAGCTTTTGGCTTTCTTAGTCAATTTTTCCAAAAAGGAAAATTCAAAATTTTTGTTTAGCTTCATTAAAACACAGATTTGAACAATGCAAAGTATAATAGGTATACTAACCAACAAATGAGAGGAATTATTATAAAAATACACTATTTATTCCTATTGACTATGAGAGATGATAAACCGCCGATCAACGTGCCCGGACCTATAACACACTATTTTACTGACACGTAAAAAGTGGAATAGAAGAGTGTGGTTAGCTTATAAGAAGGTGCATAAAAGAGTGAAGGTAGTAATAAGCAAAGAAAAATACAAGCAAAGTTAAGTAGGTATAAATTTGGTTTGCACTAATAAATTGTTAAAAACACATAAAAAACTAAAATTGTAAAAAACCGTTTTTAATTTTTTAATTAATTTGAAAAAACACAATTGCAGAGACACCACATTTCCCAAAAACTAAACAAATATTTTCAATTTTAATATATTAAATAAGATATTTAATGATATTAAACAAATTATATATCTTATCAAATTGATTATCAACATTTATTTATACATTTCCGGACACACAAAATTAAAATGTTAAATGTGTGTCAACTAGCCCTTGGTTTCTTCTTATTACGTATTCTATAACAAGAAAACCATTTCAGACCAATTATTAAAAAGAAAATGTATACAATTTAAAGTCCTCAAAACTAGGTAAAAAAAAAAAATTAAAATTTTAATAAGATATGTTTTTAATATTACGTTTTAAAAATAAAATTAATTTTACAAACACATATTACTAATAAAGTTTAATTGAATTTTACACTGTAGCGGTCGTAGATGTGTGTTTGCTTTAATTAAAGACTATTTTTTCGTATTTTAAAAAAAAATGTCTTCTTTTATTATGTTTAAGCTGAGAAGTTCTATTTAATACATATTAACATGTAGAAAAATAAATAGAACTATAAGTTATTGAAAAACTTTACTCTGATTTTTAATAACAGTACAAAACAATGACATTATCGTTTATTTATAATTATTAGTAATTACAAATTACGTACAACATTAAAACAATATAGCCAATAATATCCATTTATTTGGTGCATATTTTTTGTTTTTAGAATGTGTGCAGCATACACCGTGTTTATGTATTATATTTAGGTAGTTAACTTTTTTTACATTTGATATGGAGGACTGGGGATGGCACCGACGCGACGCTAGTCATTTAATATATTATTTATATATATTTTATATTTAGGTAGTTACTTATGGTCTTATATATTTATTATATTGTCGTGTACCTATGTTATAGAAACATCGTTATAATAGTAGGTAAGCAACCCATAGTATTATTTTGATAAATTTCTTCACCGGCCTTACACAAAAAAAAATGGCTCTGACAAGATGGGGTATCGAAAATATGCGACCCAAGGCACAGGTAAACACAAAATCGTACATGTAAACTGCGCCCGAGTTCTTATCAAGTAGAAAAATGTGACATGTAAACTGCAATGAAAACAACTTATTTCGTTACAGCCATACAATAAATACATCAAATAAAATTACAAATTATCTCTAGTTAACCCTTAACTAGTGACGTGGATTTTTGTAACATTACTATGTAGTGACGTGCGGTATGTCATACCGCACCTCATTTAACTGTGGTTGTGCTTTAAGTTTTTGTGTAAAATAAAACAAATTTGTACACTACAGATTCTATAACTTATATTCTAACTTAACTCATTAAAAAACAGGATAGGTAAAGAATATAAGTTCTTAAGTTGAATTTAGTAAAAATATTTTTAATTTTATTCCATATTTTTTTAAATATTAAAATGGTTATAACAAAATTAATTTTACATGAATTATCTTAAAACTTTTACAGAACTCCCCTATGGACATGTAGGTGTTTCAATATATATGTAATTATGAAAAAAATTTAAAATTTAATAAAAAGAAAACAATGACTAAAATACCCTATTTTTGTCTGTATAATAAAAAATAATTTTTATATAAAAAAATTATTATAATTATTAAAAGTTTTAATTTTAATAAGTAAAATAAAATAGTCTTAAAATATATTTTCATTTTAGGTTAGAACTTTTAATGGCTATAATTTCAAGAAAAAGAGTCAGATCGAGTTGAAATTTATAAGCAATATTTATTTGGTATGCCCGCACACGTCAGTTATATCAAATTTTAATTATACCCATTTCCCACCCCCTAGGGTTATTTTTTAGCCGTAATTTAAAGACCATTAAGTAGAAAATTTATCAGTAGTTAGAACTTATGTTTATCCATAATATAATATAAAATGTGTACCAAAAAAAATTACGTAATAAGTGACGTGCGGTATCACATACCGCTTAACAACTTTAAAATACACTGATAGTTAACTCAGCTGATTTTAACACATTTTATCTGTTGTTATCGATTTATTTAGTTTAAACTTAAAGGTATATACTACAATCGGTGTTTTGTTTCAACAGATAAGAATGAAATTGATAAAATAATAATCAGAGCGGTATGAGATACCGCACGTCACTAGTTAAGAGTTAATAATACTTCAATCGTTACAGCCATATAATATTATACAAAAAAAAAAATTAGAACAAATAATAAGACATTGATATCAATTGGTGTTTCACCGCTAATATATGAATAATTAAACTTTGTAATTTTTCACTTTTTTGTTTTAGAATTTTGATATTTAGAGGTTCATTTGTACTATTTAATTTAATTTATGTTTCTATTTGAATTTCTTTTAATTTTTCTATAAACATAAAAATATTTGGATGAGTTGTATAAAGATAGAATTCAAATGGAAAGACTCGCATGCATTAGTGGTTAAATTTGACGCTGCTGATGCTTGAGCCTATATTTTAGGTGGATACTATGCTTCTTCACTTATCTATACATCTACTAAATAATCCGCAAATCGTGTCACTCTTTCGTCGTCGTGCTTATACTTCATTAAATAATTTAAAAAATACTCAGATACACTTTCTGGGCTTAGAAATTGTATACCGGAGCATTGAACACACCACCTTCTAATATCACTGTTCTTATCCTTATAGTCAATACTCGGGCCATTTTGTTGGATATTTCTAACCTGCCGTCTTTATCAATACTAATTCCCCACGCTAATAAGAAACTCGTCATGGACATTGGTGGTTTATGCAATTTGGTATAAGTGGTAGCAACCCTAAATTAAATAATAATATTCTCGTGATTTTATTGATTCAGGTGCTGTTTGCATTTCATATCGATGATAAGAAGCTGGGCGCAGTTTACATGTATCCTTTTTCCACTTGATAAAAACTCGGGCGCAGTTTACATATACCTTTTTTGAACCAAATTATAATTGGGGCGCAGTTTACCTAAGGCAAGGTAATTTAGGCGCAGTTTACGCGGTATGCCCAAAATATGTTATCAATTTCTATAGTGGTAACTATTGCGAACTTGGCAATCATCCAGAACACGGCCTTAGTACATATTCTCTAAGGCTGTGATCTGAAAACTGAGACCATAGAAATCTATGACCGACCACTTATAATCATGGAGTAGATTTTGAACGCACCAAAAGGTTATAGTGACGATCGACCAACAGAGGGCGCCATATAACACATTTTGGAAATTTGAATAGATGGTTTTTTTAAAAAAATATCATGATATTTGTGGCGATTTCAGCATTATTTACTGCAATTATAAAACAAATAATTATTTGTAAGCTGTAAATGGTAACTTTGTGTTATTAATAAACAAAAATATAGTAGGTAACGGTTTGTTTTACATACAACATAACTATTACTCCTTTTGGCTATTTAGACATTTGCACATACGGGTTGTGACATGGGATTGTTCAATTGTGCAATGCTCTCCCCTCCCTGTACTACCATTTAATAACAGCTGCTGCACGTTAGCAGATGTTAAAATAATAAATGGGCGTATAAAAACGTGGAATGACTACGTATCTGCTAGTGATGGTTTCTACTCATCAGTTATCATTGGGTATACTTACTCGAGAGTTGTTGCGCCCACGCTTTAATGTTTGTTTTTGCCTATTCTGTGTTGTACATCGTTTGTTGCACAAAAAACTATTTTAACAATAATCGAATAAAAGATTATTTTAATTTTTTCTTAATTTGAGTTTTACGTGTTGGCAAAAAGGAAAACCCGAATAATTCAACAGACGCGCAAAAGTAAGTTAGCGTTACGTTCAATAGGTATTTGTTATATTTATTGCTTATTTTATGGTTTAATTTAAAACAAAATTTGATTATTTTCCAAAATGTCCCCAGTGGGGGTAAAAGGTAATAATTACAGATAAATGGGCGTTTTTTGTATAAAAATGAATGTCCATTAATTAATTCATAAAGGTGTATCATATACATAATTTATTCAATTGTCATTATGCCATTATGGAATGAACGGCCGTAAGTATAGGTGTTAATATTGTCTGTATTTCAAAAATATATATTTGCCACTAACGCTAACACTTCATGCTCGAGGATTCATTGTAAGAATATCTCGATTGCGACAAGGACAGTCATATCTTCCCCTTCCTCACGTCTTTGTATATGTAAACTTTCTCTAAATTATTCCCCGCTTGTCCACAGAAATCAAGAGACGATATAGATATAAACACAATTCACCAAGAGCTCTTTTTAAATATCCTCCTTAACCATTTATACACATCATTTGCAACGTACTAACTACTACTAATTACTTTACGTATCATGTGGTCTGTATGAGATGCTATGAAGCGTATGCCCCGTCTCTACTCTTTTTTTAAAATTTTATTTCAAAGTACCTACCAAAATGTAGATTAAATTTTTGATTAAGCTAAAATATATTATAAAACTAGATTTCATGACATTAAATTTAAAAGAATTTAATATCTACTCTACTAAACAAATCGGTGTACAAAAAAAATCAAGATTGGCTAGCAGTATTAAAATACAGAAGAAATACATATTAACTAGTTGCAAAAACTCAATAATGATTAGAATATGCCATAGCTTCTAATTAGAGATCACTTAAATTTGGCTGAGTGGTCTGATTACTGAGCTAATTCCCCACCATTTTAATTATTACTATTTTAAGTATACAAAACAAATTGAATACACTGCTACTAAGAATTTTCGGTTTTTTATCTATATTTCTTCCACAATTTTGCTTATACCTACCAGTTATTATAGTTGTACCTATCTATTATATCTAGTATGTACCTACTAGGTACATTGTTGCTATAATAATAAATACCGATGTTCACAACACAAAGACCCTTCCAAGCATGTGTTATATCTTTACCCATCAGTAAATATATGCAGATAATTGAAGTACCCTTTTAGTAGCCTGTACTGTGTAAGACCACCTACAGGCTTCGCGATGACCCTATGCTCGGACTATATTAATACAATACCGCCAGATACCATACAAGAACCTCATTGTTACACCCAGAATAGTTGAGAATAATACCCATGGGGGTCTTTATAAATTCTAATAAAATACCTAAAATAGTTTTTCTATCTTCTGTCGTTGAAATACATAATGTTCCCAATGAAATTGGCATTTACCTACTTTTTCGGGTAAATAAATGCAGTTATGGAGTTATACAGAAATGTGCTGTAATGGATATATATTATTTTGGGTTGTATAGACTTATACTTTGTTGATGGAACTTTTATTACGCATCAAAACAATTTCTAATTACAATATATGTCACTTGAAAGTGGAAACTAGATTTAAAAATACTGGTTGTACATTTTTATGTTAATTAAAAACAATATTGTTAACTGTAACAAAAAACTTACACCTAAGTTTTCCTAAAATTATCGACCTGTGTCGTCGTCACATTCATTTAATGAATATTTATATGTAACATAATATTCGTATATGGTTATTTTTTTAAAACTAATTTGACAACGTCAATTCATTTTTTTGCAAAATCACGAAGACAAAACAGACGATTGTTGGCCATTAGTTGTTTAGTTAACGATGATTATCAACACGTGGTTACTAGGAATCACTTTAGTACCCAAGAAGTATAATTAAGAGGACGCTACCCACCCGTAATTTATCCGTGAAAAATGGTTTTGTGGATGACAAGTATGTGAGGGTGATATTAATTACAGTAGCCGTATACAATTTTTACAATAAATAGAGAATAACTTTATCTAACGTGTAGCGTGTTTAGTTAAACCTCTGAATTAATTTTGCAAAATATTGCCTATACTTTACTTCTTAGAAATGGGTGGAGTGGCGTTCTCTTAACAAACAAATCAATCTATAATAAAAAAATGTTAAAATAGCCTGGCAAGCATTGTGACAAGATTAGCCGCATAATTCTATAATATATAATATATAATGCATAGAATATTATACAAACAAAATTATAAACATTTAATTATTATTTCGAGTTACTGCGGTATAATAATTCTAAATCTATTAATAGTTTTCGTATATTTTAACAGTACACATTTTTTAACGAAACATATTTTTGTCTATGTTCGTTTAATGACTATTTACGTTTTAACAAAATTATAATATAATTATATACATTTATTACGAATTATACTATTCGAAAAAAATGACGTAAATTACAAAACCGCTTAAAATAGAGACATAAAGAAAAAGTTTCCACCCTCTCTAGGGTATTAGGCTTATGATATTTTTTTTGGTTTGCCACGTTTATAGATTTGTAGGTACTTTATCTAAAAATATTCCACACAAATTTTACTATATTTAAAAAAGTTATAGTGCTCCGTAATTTCAATTTTAAAAATATGCTAAGTGTTTGGTTGTTTTTCTTAATTTTAAAAGGGAAGGGTAAAATGTTTAAATGTTTGCCCCAGTATAGTACATTTCAGTTACGATTTCTGACTTATGTGCTTCATGAAGTTTCAGCGGTTTATACGATACCGTTGGTCCAAACACAAAAATAAAAACGCACCATTGTAACCATACTGACTCAGCTCCGAATTCAAGCTACAAATTATAGTATAAGAAAACATCTGTATTAATAGTGTGTTAGAATATGTAGGCCTGATAACGAAGATTCGAGGGTGTAAGTAGTTAGTCTAAGAGTAGCTGTCTAAGTGATTATAGTTCTTACCGATCTCAGAGTAATATCAACAACATTAGGTAAATTCAATTTTTAAAAATAAACCAACCGCATCGAAGCTAAAATAATATTTATTTTAAAACCCTAGTAGCCAAATACTATGATAAGTGTAACATTATATTTTAAACAAACTGTTGTATGATGGTCTTTGCTGGCCTAATTGAATACAATTGGCTATTTTATTAATATTTAACATTCACAAGTTGTCCACTTCTCTTATGAAGGTCGACAGGACGATTTGGTTATACATTTATTTATGTTGTTTAGATATCTTGAATAGTTAATAAATTGTTAATTGTCGTGCATTTTATAGTAGCTTCTGAATTTGTAACTTAATTAGATAAAATTTACCTAATAATATATTTTAAAAATTATTACAAATTCTATTACTGTAGTAATAGTTGTTTTGTTTTATTTTGCTTTCTTGGTCGACTACAAAAGGTAGATTTATATTTTAGTTCAATACATTTTTTTTGTTAACAAATTGTAAGTAATTGTTTACATTAAAAGCTGTTCTATAGTGCCTATGTTTTATTTTAAATAAAAAAGTTTTCCTTTGACGTCTGTTATTTCACCTGTTTATATATTTTGTACCTGTATACTCAAACAAATACGTAAATTATATATTAAAAAACAAATTATTTTTATGTTTCGAATATCGAACAAACTAAATCGTTGATATATAGCGTACTCAAAACATATACGAAGCACAGCATAAAATGACAAAAACTTAAATTTATGTATTATGTAGATTCTACATATTCAATATAAGTAAACTAACAGCGATGACCCATTTTTCCTTATTCAAATAATAATCGGTATAGGTAGTATACAGCACTGAGCACATTATTATCAAGGGTATAATAAGGACTTTTTAGTAACTTTTGTTAGGTATAAAATTTTAGTTTTAATGTATATAATATCATATAGTCAATTTGCAACTACAAACCATAAACAAAATTTGATAATCAACTCGTTTCATATGATTTAAATAATATAATATTATTCAAGATTTACCCTATCACACCTTTTAAAAGTATTAAACTACTTATTTTTTATCAATTACACAATATATTAAAAAAAAAAAGTAATTATTTTTTAAAGTTAATGTCTATACAATTTTTGATCTATAGTGTTGGTAGACAAAGATATTTTGTTCAGCGGTTTGAAAGATATCGTGAAACGATTTCTTCGAGTAGCATATAGATCAGAAATGAAAAATTGACCGAAGGTAGATCTAGAATAGAACTATATAACATTAAAAATGTTCTCAAGAATATGTACCTAGTCAAACTTTTTTTTAGAAAAATTACAATTTCACCGTAGTCAATTTCTAAGTTACTATGTGTGAGTGAATTAACAGTCCAACAGGAAATAAAAACATTTTCATTATATTTTCAATTACAATACATGGAGAAATATGGCTGTACATTTTTATAGACAGACGATAAAAAAAAACCTACCCTAATCGTATCCATACTTATACTAAAAACTAATTTTTAAGCACATAATTGTCATTAGGTATAATGCTTTTATCGATATTTTTATTTTTATCAGCTGTGAATACTGGACCTCCCCTTTGCTTACTCACTTACTACTATTACTACTCACTTAAATACGTATAATACTTTCTTGTTGAACTGGTTTGGACCTACTATCCACAGATTCGCATCGAAAGTTTATTTAAAAGTAAATTAATTACTTTCAGTTATAATAATACCTGTAGACCCGTTAGCTCCCTGTCACCACTATGTTCTAACCCCACTGTACTGGCTTTTTCATTTACTTACTTATTTACACTTTGCTACACAAAACTTAATTGGTTCCATAAACCCGTGTTAGAGCATTGTGTTAGGTCTACACGGTGCAATTGTGCACCCAGCATTAATATTTTATTACGCATCTTTTAAGCTTACACTCATATAAAAAATATGTTTTAAGCCAGTCAGGATGATAAATAGTTCTTTAAAACCACCAATAAGTTAATATTGACTTTTGTAACTTTTACGGATTTTTAAATAGAATTTTGTTATTACTTTTTATTACAATAAAATAGTTATTGATAATAATTACTGT